AGACAGTTTTTATTGGAGTTCAACAGGACTATTTGGGTGGCACAAAAAGGTTCATTCCCTTTGAAGTGTAGCGTTGTGGGGTCTAATAGTGCATCCTTTGGACTGGGCAACTGGCATTTAATATGAGCATCACCTGAGGCTTTGTTGAGTTGTGGTACAGGAACAGGATGTGTTAAAGGTAATATACCTCTTTATTGTATAGCAACTTGAACTAAGTCTTTGGATTTCTGAATATAAGTTTTTGGTGATGATAAGTCAGTTTTGCACAATTTGGTTGTAAGGCAATGTGCAGAGGGCTCTTTGGTGGACAATACGTGTGTATGATTAACATCTTTGCACTGATATTTGGCCATTACGCCATGAACCTGTAAGAAGACCATACAAATCTTTCCCAGTGTGTCTGTTTCAACTATGGACGTAGGCTACACTTGTCGTGTGTTCCAGCATTACCCGAGGAAAAACACAAATTTTATTGGGGTTTGCTTTTCTGCATTGAAATACTGATGTATAAATTAACTGTGAATTTCATTTCACTATGTTATACAGCTTTTATAGCCAATGCTGTTCTTGTTGGTGCATTAATTCTTCTGTAATTGTGCCTGTCTGTACATAGTTTTGCTTTGTTCATAATGCATCTGCCATGAATCTGCTATAGGAGACTTTATGCAAAAATAGTGCCTACTAACTTTTTCCTGCTCTAGCTCAACTTCATACCTGTACATCATGTGAAACAGGAGAGAATTTTGACATAAAATGAAATAGGTTGTATTACACCCCGTAATACTCCTCGTTCATCATTCTAGGGTTTGTGCTGTGCCGTTACTTTGTACTGTAAACCTGGATTTGTAAGTATCAGAAAACACAGATTTAAGAGGAACTGATGTTTTGTCCTGACAGATCAGTGCATACTGTTTACTTCTTTTTTTATATCGAAGAAGGTAGTACTGTTATATGAATAATCTAATCCTTTGTTGCCACACGTTGCTGCTGTAATTTGTAATATTCATGACCTGATCCATATTAAAGTGCCTCTGGCACACTTGCAAGGAGGCAAGATTAGAGTTAGCAAAAAGGGCTTTATTTTCTATTAATGATTTTATAAGGGAAATGAGCTATTATATTAAAGGAAGGAATCCTAATGGAGATTTTAATGCCTCCGTCAAGATGTCTAGCCATTCGATTAAGAAAGCAAGCTAGAATTTGTTAGGAAAAAAAAACAAAAACCAAAAAAACCAACAGCATTGTTAGGTTCAGCTGTTAGGGAACATGTTTGGATTTAGTGATGCTTTAGAGATGGAAGGGTTTTTTGTTTTGTTTTTTAAATAATACAGCCAGACTAAAATACTTCCTTAGTCTTGTCAAAGTTGCACTATAAGTAGAGGAATTTAAGGTTGCATTTGGTTAGCTATTGAGCATGACTGTCAAAAGAAGGTACAATCTCCCTGTGGGAGGTCACTTCTTTGCACTATACCTTTGATGCCATATCTGATAGATTACTATGATGCTGCTTTGTTGTCTTAAGCATAGATTATTGTCCTCTTGGAAGTTTTAAGTAGCAATAAATTGAACTTTTTTGGATTTAGTGAAATTGTAAAGATAATTCAGCTTCACACTGCCAGAATTTGTAGACTGATAAAAAATAAAGCTAAGTGCAGGTCATTGTTAAAATAATACTATCTTGATACAAATCCTCAAAGGAGTGAGAATGTTCTGAGTTGGGAGTGTGCAGTGTTAGCTGTAGCCTCACTGTGTATTAGCTGCATTTGTAACTCTTGAGAAACCCAAACTTGGACTGTTTCTGAAAGGGAAGGGAAGGTTGTGTCATATGGAGTCATACTGGGAATTATTTCAATATTCCATCTTTGGGTGTCAGAACAGCCACTCTTCTGAAAGATACAAAGATGAAACTTGGTCCTTCTTCAGAATAAGGTGGTAGTTTTTTCAGTATTCTCGAAAATATTTGTCATTCTCTGCATGCCTTTAGTCTCAGATTGATGAAGACATAACACCAATTGCTTAGACTTTATTGGTGTCATTTTTTTCATCGTAACAGTGTGGAACTGTGAAGTGATTCATAAACACTGAGGCAATAAAAATGTTATGAAGTGCAATCATTGCATGTTTCATGCTCAGTAGCTAATTTTTAATTTCACCATCTTGGACACTTTTTCTTCCCCTCAGACTTCCTAAATAGGAAAGGAGAATCATTTGGACTTGGAAAACAGGAACAGTGATTCAAGATGGAATTAATTTACTTGGCTGTTCATTTGTTTTACTTTTGCAATTATTTCTGATTTTTATGTTTGAACAATAACTTTCATTCCACGCATCAGATAACCACTTGTTCAGACCTGCAGTGAAATCATAGAACTGTGGTTGTGACATCATTTGTTTAAAATAAAGAGGAAAATCCCTCACCTATGACATCAGATGAAATTGCATTATGTCTGGATCAGAAAAGAGGTGAAAGTGAGTCTGGGAGGAGAAGAAGAAGCTGAGCCTAAAGGATTTTTTTCTTTGCTGCCTGCTGACTAGAAAACTGCCTACTAAGGAAATTATTTCCTCTACATTTATCAGAATAGCAACTTTGTTCCTTGTTTATTGATAGTAAAACCTTAATGGGACTAA